TCACTTTCTTTTAAGGGATTCTAATGAAGTATTTCAGGAGTAGATGGGCATCCTAAGAGATGTCTGTGACGGTGTTGCAAATACACAGACATAGAAAGACATACTTCCTCCTGTGCTTCAGCTCTCCAGATTCCACACTGTGTTTTGGACTTTCCCTCTTTCTGTATAAAGAGATTATCAAATAATATGCCAGTAGTTCTCTATGTGATCCTTGAATCACCAGCATCTGCCTCACTTGGAAATTCATGGGGGATGGGTAGAGACCAATGATTTATGATTTTAAAAGACCAACAGGTTTTTCTGAGACATGCTAAAGATTGAGAACCACTGTATATGATTATATAGCTCTTCTTTTTTGTAAAGCTTTGTTTGATCCTTTGAGATAACAACAAAACAAATACAGGTCATCCTGATTAAATTTGGAATTTCCTTCCAGTCTCCAGAAATGACAGATAATTTCTTGGGATGCATTACCTCTCCACAAACGTAATCTCATCAACTATATATTGATTTACATTACTTCTTCTTTCATAAGATATTTTTTAAAAATTTCTGTGAATATTAAGCCTTGTACACACTATTAAAGCTTACATATCTCAGAATGTATTCTTTGATTTCCAAGCTCACAAATACCTTCTTCATGGGTAGGAGCTATACTTTTGGATTTGGTTTAGGCTATAGAACTTAAAGTAGTATAGAGTGTATGCATTCCATCTTTAATGGAAGATTGAATTGAATAATTATGACTAAATTGAAATAGTTCTCTTAATCCCTTGCTTTCTTTTATAGGCATTATTTAAATTTTACCATACATGATTTTTTTAAGTAGATAAGCTGGGGGAAAACTACAAAAATTTTCAATAACATATAAAACAGAAAATGTTAAATATCTGGATTTTTTTCAAATTATGGAATTAGTACCAAATTCTGGTATAAAGAAGACAATAAAACTCACTGGTGCCAGGCGTGGTGGCACACACCCTAAATCCCAGCACTTGGGAGGTGGAGGCAGGTGGATCTCTATGAGTTCAAGGCCAGCCTGGTCTACATAGAGAGTTTCAGGCCAGCTGGGTCTACAGGGAGACCCTATCTCAAAAAGACAAAACAAAACAAAAACCCTCACTGGTGGGTCTGCTGCCTACATAACAAACTTCACTTTTTGGCATGCTTCCTTCTAATAACTTTTGTTGCAATATTTTTTGTTATAAAAAGGGTATATGCCATGTTTATTTTAATTTAAAAAAATTTATTTATTTGGGTGCATGTGGAGGACAAGTGTCTGCCATAGTGCATGTGTGGCGGTCAGAAGACAGTTCTCAGGAGTTGGTTCTTTCCTATCACTGTGTGAGATCAAGGGACCAAATTCAGGTTGTAAGGCCCATGAACAAGTACTTCTGCCCACTGTGTCATCTCGCTGGCCCTATGTATTATATTTATACATCCATTATTCTACTTTTAAAACTAAGCATTATGATCATTACTATAACATTATTTTAAAAATTATGGTTCCAGTTGTGTCTATGACCTATAATTTAGCCATTCCCCAATTTAGGGCCTTTGGGTTGGAAATAATATTTCACTTTTTAAATAACAATAGGATGGAGTGGGATGCATATTTTGCAGATAAATACATCCTTTTAGAGGCAGGATTTATTGTATATTTGGAATGTTTCTAAACTCTCTTAGTCATCTCTTTCTTCCTGCTTTCTATATTGTAAGGAGTGCTCATCAGTTTGTTCCTTTAAACATCCTTTGATCCAAGCCCTCATCATAATTTCATGAACATATTTGCATAAACATAAACATCAAAGTCTGAAATTTAGAAAGAGCTAGTACCTTCCAGGTTTACATTGATAGTCTCCCAACTGGCCAGCTTAGGCTTTGTGCTCTCTGCAAAGTCTTACAGCTCTTAGTAACATCTGGGCTAACAGTTCACGATGGACTTCATAAATAAATTCTTAATTGCTAAATCAGAAGGATGCTGACTAATTATTTGTTTATTACCTATAGGTGAGTCTGGAAACAAATATCCATACCAGAATGTTAGCATGTTTCATTTAAGGACCTTTTCTTTGTGAAATATCTTTAGTTTTCAAAAGCTCTAAAAAGCAAGGTATCTTAGATCAGAGTGAGAATCATCTTCTGTGTTGTCTTCTGTAAAGTCAGATATCTTTTATTTTTTAAAAAATGTATTACATTTATTTAGTGTGAAAGGTGGGGGCAAAGGGGAAGAAGGAGTTAATAGGAGACAGGGGTTATCAAGGAGGAAAAAGGGGGCACTTTAACAAAGGAGGTAGTAGGGAGGGTTGTAAAGGAAGAGTGAAAGGTAAGATAAATAATGCTTAGATGGTGTCAAAAACTCATGGCGAAGATATCAGTGAGCTTGGAAGTCAAAGAATACAGCCTGAAAAGTTAATAATGTTACATTTTCAAAGCAACTCCTACACACAAGATGAATCCATCTTTCAACTCATCTATCTCACTGGAGAGATAGAGGGCTCCGTGGTAAAGAGCAAAGCAGCTCCTACACACAAGATGAATGCATCTTTCAACTCTTCTATCTCACTGGAGAGATAGAGGGCTCCGTGGTAAAGGGCAAAGCAACTCCTACACACAAGATGAATGCATCTTTCAACTCTCATCTATCTCACTGGAGAGATAGAGGGCTCAGTGGTAAAGAGCACTGGCTGCTCTTGCAGAAGACCTGGATTCGTTCCCAGCACCCACATGGTAGCTAACAACAGTCTGTAACTCCAGTTCCAGGGGATCTGACACTCTCTTCTGATCTTTACAGGCATTGGATGACATGGGTGCACTTACATACATGCTGGCAATACACTCATACACATAAAATAAAATATTTTTTTAATTTTATCAGCTCTCACCAGGGAGGTTTCCTTATGCAGCAGATGGTGATTAACACAGAAACCTACAACTGACCTATTTACAGAGGGCTCATCCCCGAATAGGACACCTATTTCAAATCTCTAAAGACTAAGAGATCATTGCAGAAGAGGGGGTGGAAAGATTGTAAGAGCCAGAGGTGGTGGATAACTACAAGGAAACAGAGTTTTCCTGACAGCTGGTCGGTTACACATATGAACTCACAGCAATAGTGACAGCGTGCACAAGTTCCATGCAAGCTCAAGCCAGACAAAATCCCAGCATAACCATGGAGACGTGGGTAAGAACTCCCAAACCAACCTAAGGAACTTTTGACAACTGATGGATGGCTTCTTGGAGGAGGAAAAACAGTCTCTTATGGGGATGGGACTATTGGTAGGTTAACCAGGATCCAGTGGACCCATGCTGAGGGACATGAGGAGTACACAAATCAGACTCAATAGGCTGTATTGTATGTATAGTGGAGTATATTGAATGGGACAAGGGAGAGTGGGGGAGGTACATATGGAAGAGGGGCTCTAAATTCCATAAAATTATATTGTATGAAAATCTCAAAAATTCAATAAAAATTTAAAAATTATTGCATTTATTTAGTGTGTGTGTGCGCGCATGCACGCTCATGCATACTTGAGCATGTACATGCTATTGTGTAGGTGTGGAGGTCAGAGGACAACTTTGAGAGTCAGTTTTGTCCTTCCATTTGTAGGTTTGGGGGATGGAACTTAGCTCCTCAGGCTTGGCAGAAAGTGCTTTTATCTGCTGAGCCATTTTGCTGGCCCTCAGATATCTTTTAGATGAAATATAGCCCTATTACACACACACTTTAAAACTTTCCAAATTAAAATGAATAATTCTTTCAGCTTTTTTTTTCGGTCATTTTTGAGACAGGGTCTCCTTGTAGCCCCAGTTGACCTCAAACTCCCTATGTAGACCAAGCTGGCCTCTTATCTCACAAAGATCTGTGTGTCCCTGCCTCCCGAGTGCTGGGAAAAAGACCGGTTTTTATTGTGATAAACCATCTCACCTATACTCAGTCTTGAACTGAATGATATTTCTTTCCTTTCAGAACAGGAAAAAGTAACAAAATATTTCAAAAATATTTTTAAATATTTCTGAAATATTTCAAAAACTTATGACAACTAAAATAAAAATGCTTCTATGATATAGAACCAAAAATCAATGCATTATAAATGGCTTCTAGGGTCAAAAATATTTCACCAAGCATGGTGGTGCAGGAGGATCCCTTTGAAACCAGATCAGCCTAGGTAGCACAGACCCTGTATCAAAAATAAAAATAAAATAAAATAAAATAAACTTCCAGCATTATTTTCTTCCCAATTTGTTTTATCTTCTTGAATTGGTTGGTTTTTTTTTTTAAAGAACCACATTAACCATATCATTGAAAATCTTGATTGCTGAATGTTTAACTAAAGAGATGCCCTCAACAGTTGCTTAACTTTATAGGACATTGAACAGACAAGTAATCAAAACTGATTTTAAAAAATATTTTATTATTTTTATTTTATGTGTATGAGTGTCTCACCTGCATGTGTGTAAGTGCAATACATGCATGCAATGCCCTGCAGAGGTCAGAAGAACCGGGTGTCAGATCCCCTGGGATTAGAGTTAAGGATGGTTGTTAGTTGCCATGTGGGTGCTGGGAATCTAATCCAGGTCATCTGGAAGAACAGCAAGTGTTCTTAACCGCTGAACCATCTTTCCAGCTCCAACACTGCTTTGGAAGCTAGTGTTATTCAGGTTTTTCTCACACTCTAGTATGGTAAGCAAGTAACTTGAGGAACTCTGAAGCAAACTTCTAGTAAAGATCTTACCTTAACACAATTGTGATGTTTTACAAGTAGGCTTTTGGAGCAAACAAGCAGATACAAGGGACACAGCAGCAATTTGAAAAGGAACATACCACCTGGACCGCCTGGTTTTTTGGTCTGTCCACTTTCTGCCTCTACCTCTAGCACTATCACAGGTGAGCTCCCGGAAGGTGCCGCTAGGAGGCGATAATCCACAATCTCATCGCCAGCACCAGCACCTGGGGGCCCTCCCTTCCTTCTTCTCGTTCATCTCAATTTCCGGCGGAAGCGGCCCTAGCTGGTTTCGTCTTGAGTTATTGGGGTGTGCGGTGCTTTGGCTCCGCGGGCGGAGTGAGGCTGCTTCTGCGGAGCTGGAGAGGCATACTGGGGTTTAAACTCTTGCGGAAGGATGGACATTCTTAAGTCAGAGATTCTTCGCAAGCGGAAGCTGGTGGAAGACAGGAACCTGCTGGTGGTGAGGGTCCTTGTGGCCATAGAGTTTAAGGGTTGAGACGTGTGTGGAAGGGTGTTGGGGTGAGGGTCTGGGGAAGGGGTGGGTGCTGAGAGCCGTGCCACTACCCCGGAGACGCCGCTCTGTGGGTCCGCGACCGGGGACCCCCGTCCGGCGGCCTGAAGAGTGGAAGGACGGGTGTTTGTGAAGACGCCAAGGTTTTGCAAGTGTTTTTTTCTGGCGTTGCTTCCCTGGCAGTTTTCCCAAGTGCTGTGTTCGCTTCTCTTCATTTTCTTTTCCCCAGTGTATCAAAGCTTACAGGTCACTTTTCATGAATAGGAAGACCAAGACTTGGAGAGAGATTAAAACAGAGGAGGAAAACCAGCCTCCTTAAAGTTGGGACTCTCTTAAAGTTGATCTTCATTAGTTTAGCCACCAGTTTTCAAAACTGTTGTCTCGGGGCCCCTTTATACTCTTAAAAGTTATTGAAGATCCTAGCCGGGCGTGGTGGCGCCAGCCTTTAATTCCAGCACTTGGGAGGCAGAGGCAGGCGGATTTATGTGATATCGAGGCCAGTCTCGTCTATATAGGGAATTCCAGGCCAGCTGGGGCTTCAGGGAGACTCTGTCTCAAAAATAAAAAGTTACTGGAGATCCCAAAGGGTTTTTGTTTATGTGTTATATCTACTATTATTGTACCAAATTAAAGGTTAAACGGTGAAACTATAAAAATATTTATATATTCGCTGATAATTTGGAAAGTATTGCATGTCTCCCAACTGTTGGCACATTTCATTACATGTTATGTAAAAAATTACACTAATATTAATTGATCTCATGAAATTTCTATAAATTGCCAGTTCATAATGGCAGACCCATGAAGCTGTAATTTTATAAAAAGATATAAATGCCATCAGTTTTTCTGAAATGATGGATTCATTAGATTCAGTTTGGGGAAGTTGTCTGACAAGTGTAGGCCCACAGGTAGCTATGTTTTGTCAATATTCATTCTTTTTAAAAAATATTTTATTTCTATTTTAATTTTATGTATATGAGTGTATTACTAGCATGCTTATAAGTGCATCCATGTTGTGCAGTGCTCAGGGAAATCAGAAGAGGGCATCAGATCCCCTGGAACTAGGATTACAGAGGGTTGTTAAGTGCCATGTGGGTGCTGGGAACCAAACCTGGGTCCTCTGTAAGAGCAGCCAGTGTTCTTAACCACTGGGCCATCTCTCTAGTCCCCGAGTATCCGTTCTTGACATAATGTTATTCAGTGGAAAAAAGAAAACAACTAGCTTATTTTGCAGCTCATTTGTACAATTTTTCTCCAATCATTGTAAATGTAAAAATGAAAAATACTTAATGTGCACTTTCTGATTTGTTACATGGGCCAGGTTGTTGAAATCTAAGTACGTTAAAAGGAAAATTGTACTTCAGGGTTTACAGAATGAAAATTTGCATACTCAGGTCCTTTGTCATGTAAAAAGACCAGTCCCTAAGTGTTCAGTGTTTTAAAAACATTGATTCTTCATAATTGTTTTAAATTTGTATGCTACATAGACTTTCCCTGGGGTTCCTTTCATTTTTCAGTTTGGTAGGTGATTCACTTAGATAATTCCAGCCAGAAAGTAAGATTGATTGCTGCATGTCACAGTTTCAGAACAGCCTAGACCAACAAAGAACATTTATGAAATGGGAATTAAAATACTGAAATCCATGTTGGCATGTGTGCACAACTAAAGTCCCAGCACTTGTGAAGCAGAGAAAGGTGGATGTGAGTTAAAGGACAGTATAAGCTACTTAGTGAGGCACTTGTCTCAAAACAATGACACTAGCCAAAAACTGAAATTCATAGTTTGTGTTGAAAGTAATCTAGATATTAGGCAATATAACCCATGTGTGATAGCTTATTTCATTTGTATAGCAATTCTGATTACTCCTCTCTAGAGATGAGGAAATTAAAGCTAAGTTACATGATTTCTGAGGAACCAACATCTAACAAAAGGTAAGAGTGTGGATTTGAACCCTGGCCTGGCCCACTTCAGCACCTGCTCTCATAACCTGTACCAGCTACAGATAGAGTAATGAAAACAATTTACTGGTCATTACACATTTCAAATCATGTTGTAGGGCATCAGTATGCTTTCTTATCCCTAAGTGATTTGGTATACATATCATGGAGTCTGATGTATGTTTATATGTACCTCTTTTCCAGTGTATGCAAACATTTATGTTCAAAGAAGTGTACAGATCTTAAGTTTACTGTTCATTGAGTTTGAGCAAATGAAAATGCCTGTGTAATCCAGTCCCCTTGAGGAGATAAAAAAGTGTACCTTCTACTTTCCAGTCAGTTGTTGTCCCCATCATCCCAGAAACAATCACTGCTTTGATTTTTTTTTTCCCACCTTGATTTTCTTCTAGACCATCACATAAATAGGATCATACTGTGCATATTGTTATGTGGAGCCTCAGAATAATGTTTTGAGTGTTGCTCATTTTGCTACATGTTTCAGTTACTTACCATTTATTGCTAAAATCATGTTCTGTTGTCTGAATAGATCCATTCTCCTTTTGATGAGTACTGGAGCTGTTTGATTTCGCTGATTAGATTCTGAACCTTTGGGAATAGGTTTTATGCTTTTATATCTTTTTGAAACTGCTATATCATAGAGTGATGCTATGCTGAGTTTTAGAAAACGATAATTGTTTTTAACATGGCTCTACCTTGTACATTTATGAATAGTTTCAGACAGTTGGCTTGTCTACACACTTACCAGCCGTTTGTGTTGTCAGTCTTTCCAGTGGAGAGGTATCTCAGGGTGATTCTAAATTGCATCTTGATAATTCATCTTAGGCACCTTTCATGTGATTCCTAGACATTCTTTTTCTTTTTGGTCTTTTTTGAGATCGTGTCTCCCTGTAGCCCCAGCTGACCTAGAACTCACTATGTAGACCAGGCTGGCCTTGAATTCTTGGAGTTCTGCCTGCCTTTGCCTCCCTGCCTCCAGAATGCTGGGATGAAAGGTGAGTGCCACCATATTCGGCCTCCTAGACATTCTTATATCTTTTTGTGAGATGTTAAAGTTGCTTGCATATTTAAATTAGTGGTTTCTTATTGTCTGTGGAATCTTTTATATATCCCACATACCATTTTCTTTAATAGGTTTGTATTTTCTGAATATTTTCTTACAGATTGGGTTATCTGTTCATTTCATTAATAGAGCCTTTTGATGAACAAAAACTTTGTGTGTGTGTGTGTGTGTGTGTGTG